GACGGATCGACAGGAACTGTACCCGCACGACAGTGCATGAACAGTGCCCGGCGCTACGGGGTCGATGCACACTGCCTGGCCATGTTATGCCGTGGTCATTAGATCTATGTCCCAGCCATTGCCGGTCCTTTTGCAATGGCTGGCACTGTGCCATGGGTCACCGTTACGGCCGTGCGATGTCATCATCAAAAATTTAAAACCATGATCAGTTACAGTTGCAGAAGCAATTCAGAAACATAGCAAGTTCAGAATTATTCAGACAAATGGCTAAATGATGGATCAAGATCTTTTTCCATGGCAACACGACTGGGTCACTTTGATCCTAAGTCTGTTTCGTGTGCGCCTTTATTCTAGGCATTGCCAAAACCATAGGCCTCGAGGCAGGCAACGGCGTCAAAGCAAAGTAAATTCAGCATTCCGAGTTTCAGGCCGAAGAAACGGGCGTTGATCGCGTGACAAAATCACGCACCCAGTGGACCGGAGCCATCATCAGTGCATCCGGTCGAAGTGCGAGGCATGGTCGTAGGAAGGCTTTGGGAGCTGGAGCTCGCTGTCATGGTCCCCCCAGCGCTCGAAGACCTGGAACCGCGGGTGATCATCGAGGGGCTGGCCGCCGTCTAGCCAGAGCCCCACCGATGATCCCAGCGCGTGCATCGCGGGGTTGGGGGCGCCGGCAATGGCTGCCACCCCAGAGTGCATCTGGGGACTTGGCTGGAGGTTGGCAGCACCCACTGGGTTGCTTGACAGAAGAGAGAGAGCATGCTGAAGATCCGGGGCTCCACTGGAGTCGGAAGCAACAGCAGAAGCTTGGACACCTGGAAGGGTAAACAAGTAGAACAAGTTTTGGTGTTAATGTTCATCACCAAGGAAAAGATTCTTTGGAGTGCCTAAACATACTTAAGAATATAATCGCCACAGATGCAGAGTTACTGTGCAATGGAAAATCTCAATCAGTTCTGAAGTTATCATTACTTTACTAGTAAAGATGAAACCAAATTTTTCATGATTCTATAACAGACTATTGTTTTTATTTATTTATTCTAACCCCAAGGCTTGCCTGCATGTGCCTCATTATCAACAACTTTCCGGTATAGAAAACAAAAACAAAGCACTATTAAAAATTCGTCTGAGCAACTCAATCATGCCAGATTATGACAAATAAGGTAATCCACAGTCTCTTCCGGACCCAAAGCTATAGTCTCAAATGGTACGACTAATCATAGTTTCTGGTAAATGTCAGAATCAAATCAGTACTAAGAGGACAGGACAGGCTGACAGCTCTTCTTAAGGTGGATCTGTTTCAGATCAAAGATTGTGGATAACTGCAGGTCAGGAAGTACAATCATCTATGAGGAAGCAAATTCAGTGAAAAGAGCGTGATTAACCAGAGATTGCTAAAATAAGGGTAGGTGACTAGAGCTCCTTGAAAAGATAAAACATGGAGAAGAATGTGACCTGGCAATCAGGTCCTCGGATCACAAAAATAAGGACCACGTGTATAGTCACATGTTGCAAACAGAACTTACCTAATGAAATGTTGAAATGATACAGCTATATGTTCAGAAAGTGCAAAAGCTTCATGTCATTTATGTTAACTCGAAAGAACAGCCAACAAACAGGAGTACATATTAGAAGAAACATACTAATTCTATGAAGTGGTCCGTGGAAAAAACACGAAGAGGTGCATTTATCTATTCTTGTTTTAGTTAGGAATTGTAGGAACAAGAGTTTACATGTAAGTGACGACCTTTATATGGTCACTTTTTCACCGTTTCGTTTGGAAATTCATTCATAAGCAGGGAAATACCTTGATTAGGGAACTTTGTACAAGTTCCCTTGAATGACATGAACCCATCGAAACCATGATGTGCACCATGCGGCATAATATTGTCCGACATCTGCTGACTAGATAAATGCATCCCATGAACACCTGCAGCAGTTGTTGGCTTTAACCAAGGAGCTTTTGTGTGTGTAACTTTGAAGCCTCCTGGGTCATCCCATGAAGAACTTCCACAGCTTCTCATTTGAACATAAGGAGCCTGACCGAATAGGAAATTTGGCTGTTGCCTTGCATCTGTTCAAGTCATTACAAGAGTTTTAGCACAAAATGTTCATAAGTCAGAAATGTAACTGCTTCCATAACTCCAAATCCTCAATTTGTTTGTACAATTATGTGTTTGTTTTTTCTTTTCTGAATCACTATACCATTGACGCGATAACATAATTATTAACAGATAAAAGTACAAAAATATTTTGAGGAATCTAGAGTGAAATGAATAGTACATTGGGCACAACTCCTTAAAATAAGGACAAGTACAATTGTTATCCATTAATTCCCATCAACAGGAATCATCATAAATTGTTCCTATCAACAGAAACCCTCACAAATGGCAGTCACCAGGATCACAAAGAGCCTTTCTGATATCACAGTTACGAAAATTGTGACTAATTTTTGACATTATGACTAGGGAGGAAATTTGAATCAACAAAGAAATTGACCATTTCAAACACAAAAAAATGCTCTACCCTAGTAATTTTTTGTGCTGCTGAGTTGGTGTGACCATACGTGGCTGTTTTAGAAGGACATATGTAAGCATGTTACTTACTTAACGCATGAATTTCACAAGACATAAGGCAAATACAAGCCTAGTACCCTACCATAAAACATTGTAGACATCCTTGATGAACTGAAAGAAATTGCTTCTGGCTGTGGCTTGCGCCTGCGGGAATTATGATCATTGAGACGCCTACGGCAGCTTCGCTTTTTCTGGTCAAACTCGGCTAAAGCATGAAACCTAGAATCAAGTGGAAAACAAAAGAGAAAGAAACAGATCAGAACAACGGGTTCTTTTTTTTGTGCTCAAGGATGCCACTGTTTGCAATATAAAGCATCTCACCGGCTGCACTGTTGGCAAAAGCGTCGCTCCAGACCAGCGACAACAACTTTGGGAGCCTTAGCGTGAAGTTCACAGACTCTGTGCTTCCGATGGTAATCTTTAACAGTAGAGAGATCGGCTTTGCAGCCTTCAACCTGACAGTATGAGTTATGTGGCTTCTGTTGTTCCGCCTTTGCCTTCTTGCCCACAGCAGGAGATTTGTTTGGCGCGCTCGCAGCACCCGATGGCGAGCTCTTGACACTCTGCCCTCCACAGACATCCTCGAAGTAGGTTCTCTTGCCGAGCTTCAGGCCGATCACCGGCTCCCCACTGCTCACTGCCACCACAGGCGACGGAGATGTTCCAGTTCTCGTGTTATCAACTTTACCCAGCTCGGTATTCTTGCTCATGTTCCTATCAGTGTTTTTGACGGGCGCAAATCTGAACTCCATGTTGTTCCCAGCCTTGGACGAAGAATCGATCGACGCGGACATGGAGCTCTTGGAAGAGCCATATCCCATCTCCGAGCTGGAAGAGAAGTTGCCGCTGCCGCTGCCGCTGCCGCTGCCGCCAGAAGAATGGAGCGGTTCGTTCCCCATGGTAGCCGCAACGGCGGCAAATCTTGGATCGGCCTGCATCGCATTCTTGGGGTTCTCGCCTATCGGCGGGAAATTCTCCCAGTCCCACAGCACCGAGCTCCTCTGGTTCCACTCCATCCCAAAAGAGCCCATGCCAGAGCCGAAGATCTCCGGCGCTCCTCCTCCTCCTACTCGCACGGCAAAGCTGCTGCCACTGAAGCAACAAAAGGGAACACAAGGGGTGAGGAGCAGAATTAGCAAGCTTGGAAATCAGGAAAAAAAATTGCACTTGGAAAAGTCAATGATGATGAACAGCTTAGAACACATATGAGCACCACTGAGGGCAAGAGAGAGGAAGTACACAACTATCATCAAATGAATGAGTGAATGCCGTGTGCAACTGCGCAACAGAGGGTATGCAGAGTACCTTTCTTCACACAAGTGGAATCGTCAGTTAGTTATGGCAAGAAGATCATCAATTCATCATTCCATTTCCCCAGCAGCAGGAGAGACAAAAAAGGAGAACACACAAGTACCTTGATGAGGGACCAAAGATCAAGTTGTGGTATCCCCCCTTCACTTCTTCCTCCTCCGAAAACAATAGGAAAGACAGCAGAATTCCTCCTCCTCCTCCTCCTCCCAGAAGCCCGATCAGCAGCGCGCCGGAGCGCCACGGAGCTCCCCCTCGAACCCGGCGAGCCGTGGTGCCGGGGACGTCGTCGGCGGAGCAGGCGGCCCCATCAACCGGAGAGAAGCTCTGCTGCCTCAGGCCCTCGGCACAAGGTCTGCCTCCCCCTCAAATCTCATCCCTGGGCGATGAGATGAGATCTAGTATATCACCTTGAAAGAAACCCAAGCCCAATCACGGCATCAGCAACCACCCCGGCGCTGGACCCTACGGCGCATCATGACAACCACCCCGGTCTCGCTCGCCCCAATCAAGATCTTTCACCACCACCAGCAGCACGCCCCCAAGCCCAGAGAAAAACTACCACTACTGGAGTACTGGTACTGCTACCTCAGGACTGCATTATTTGCTCCACGTTGCCTCTGCGTCACCCTCCTCCACGGATCAAATCAAATCAAACCCCTTTGGGACGGGACGGCGGAGGGAGGGAGGGAGGGAAGGAGGGGGAGAACCTATACCACATCAAGTCAGCTGCTTTTCCTTTTCCTGTGGGGGAGGAGGACCCCTTTTTACCCGTCTACTAGAGGGGAAAGAACTGCTCATGCCACCCCTAGGTGTACTGTGGTACTGTGTGCAATGGAAAGGGAGATCAAGAATCTTACTGCTGCCTCCTTTTTGCTCAAGAATCTTTGTCTCCTTGGCCTTGGTGTATCCCTCCCTCTGCCTGGCAGGCACTTGGGAGAGAGGATGAGGGAGGGCCTCAGAAAATCAGCAGAGGAGGGCAACCAGATAAGGAAGACAAGACTCACAATAACCCAGTGCACACCACACACACAAATGAGCTAGCTTTTTTTCATGTCATGCCCTGATGAATGGTGCCCCCACCTGAGTAGTGACTAGTGAGTGAGTAGGCCTGGAATGAACAGAAAGTGCCGAGTGGGGATGGATTTGGATGCCTCTACTGCTACTGCATCTTCACACACAGACACAGTGCAACAACCAGGCACATGCCCTCCCTGACACCATCTCCAAGAGGGCTCAGGGGTCAAGAAAGACAGCTAGGCTTAAGCTACTCACCTCACCTCACCACCTGTTTACTGTTACTTCTACTACTACCAACAGTGCTACTTGTATGTATGTATCTACTGTACAGCAAAATCTCCAGTGGAAAAGCAGCAGCCTTTTTTGTGTGTGCTGAGGTTCAGAACTCAGAGTTCCTCAGCAGATCAGATGTATCATCACCTCCTCCGAGAATGACAAAGCACAAACGTATGAACCAATGAAAAAAAAATAGCGCGCTGCGAGAAGATTTAGCACCGCCCTTGTCCAGATGTTGTAGAAGTTATGAAAGTACTGCACAAGACACTATAGATTACGATCCCGGTACGATGCTATATCGAGCGGAGTCTGATGATTTGGCTTGGTGCATCGGAGGCTAGTATGTGACGGCGTACCAAAATTGTCCATGATGTATCGTTCGCATCTAGAAAGTTATAGCATGCTATATTTGAAAAATTGCGTTTTGCATAAAAATGTCAAATGTATCACATAATTTAAGGCTTCCCTAATTTGCAAGGATGGGGACTTGGGGCGAAAATGGAATGAGGCCGACACCGCTATTTGGAGACAGGATGAAGAGAGGTTGCTCTCACCTGGTGGCTGACTTGCCGACGCCGGCGGCGTGGTTAACGTCGGCGCTGACTTGCTGGAGTTGGAGGTGTGGCCGACGACGCTACTTGGAGAGGGGATGAAGAGAAGCCGCCGCCGCTAGTTGGAGACGGGATGAAGAGAAACCGCTGCCGCTCATGAACCGCCGCCTTCGCTCACGAGTCACGAACGTCGCCGACGCCTCTTGGAGACGGGATGAAGAGAAGCCACTGCCGTTCACAAACCACCACCTTC